AAGGTGCAATTGGCTTCAACTACTCTGCTCTTTTGCCTGTAATCTGTGTGGTACATTACAGTGTTTGTGGTGATTTATACACTATGACAAACTCTGGTTGCTACTTTTAAGAGGGTTTATTCCTCATGGAAATTCATTTCACATCCAGTGAATTAAAGCAGAGAGATAGGAAAACTGATTTCTTGGAGGTATGAACATGCTGGTGGATGACACAGCTTCAGACCTAGTTGAATTAAGTCCTGGATTAAGTTTTCTCGTGCCTCATTTGGGTTGCATTATCACCAGTTTTAGGACTCCTCTCTCTTTTACAAGGAGCTCCAGGCATTTCCACAGAAATGCACTGAAATGGCAAATATGCTTTAATATCAGCTCCCTCTTAGGAAGTTAGACAGCAGAAGACATGAGCATTCGATTAAGACATGAGCACTTGATTAAGGTACACTGTATTCACATTCATGAATTGCTCTGCCTTTTCTTTCTACGGAGCCCTGTAATACATCTCACAGGATCACCGTGGCTGAGAGATGTTTTGAGATCATGCTAACACTTGGACTGCTTGGTTTGCAGGGTTCGTGACATTATGTGGTAATTCATGAGTATCTGTCAATGATTCTGGCTCCAAGCAAACCCAGAAGCTATGAAAAACCACAGAGCATCACAAGACTTCTGCTGAAAAGCAACATAAAGCTAGCTGTTTCCTTAAGTTCTTAAGCCATTTATTAACGGAAACTGTTGACCATTTTGGTAAAGCTACGGTAGTTAAAGGTGGTAAGTTAAATAAGGCAATAAGAAAACCCCAAGGTCTCATTATTAGCATTTCCCAGGGCAATACAGAAGATCTTTCATGCTGTGGCATTCTCAGTTTCTCATTTCCCCTGCTGTTGCACTATTTCATATAATAGGACATGATAGGAAATAACGATATAGTCTGTTCAGAGAACTGGAGCAGGACTCACAGCTTGAGGAAATTAAAGGCTACATATGATAGCTATTAGTCCTATGATACTAGTAGAGAGAGCTCTGAAACCTTGGGGATGAGTACAATGTAAGGCTCTGAATAGGAACTATGGGGGAATTAAAAAGCATTAAAAGAATAAGGAAAAGATAACCTTGAAATCTCTCTGGAATATAACCCTCCCAGCAAACACTCAGGGCATTAGCACCCCCTGAGCAGCTATTCAGGGGGCTGCGACACATTGGCCACAAAGCTGAAAAGGAGAGTATTCCCTTGGGAACATTTCCCTGCTGGTCTTTCTCACCCAGGAACACAAGGCAGCTCAAAACCCCTAAAACACTGGCACATCATTTCCAGACAGATTTGCACTGTTGAGGATAAACATATCCATGTACAGGACTAGTAGCTATGGCAGGTCCAGGACTTCTGTAGCTAAAGCTCTAGACAGTGACTAGGCAAAATGAGCATGGGGAGACTTTGAGTTTTGTATGATTCATTTTCAGCTACTATAAATGTTTTCTTTGCTCCACTGTCTTATACCTTCTGGTTTATTTTGCAAGTAAATTGAATCTGGTCTACATTCTCCTAAAGAAAAAGACAGGATTTTTTAACAAAATTAACAGCTCCTGGAGACTGCATAAATTGTGCAACTCCATATGCAACTAGAAGTTTCTTGATTAAAGTTAGGTTTCAAATTGTTTCCAAAAAGAGTGAACCAGCTACATATGGCATGTTGAGAAACCTCTCCCCAGTGATTTCACTGCCACACATTTCTTAATAAAAGGTAATAGCTAAGTTCAGAAGAAGCATAAAGAATAAAAATAATTAGCTGTGTGTGGCCAATAATAATAATAATGAACGATTTAAAAGTGGAAAATATTTTCAACTAAAATTAATGGACATATCTTTAGTACGTCATTTGTGAATTTATCTGCATGACTTCCACTCATATTAATGTGAGCCTCTTGACTAATTTCTGCCCACTGAGCTGTTAATTCATCCCTAGGGAATTAAGTTTAGATTTAAATGTACAAAAGCCTTTTAATGTTAAATCTGGAACACTGTCTTTAATTCAAATAGTTTTCCCAGAACAAAGGAGCAGTGAAATAAATTAGCAGTGATGGCTTATTAAGAATATTAAATTTTCTGAATTAAATGACTAATTGGGTGGGAGAGGTATGTCATTCCACCCTTATTCTGACCAATACCTTGTTTGTTTGGGACTCTGTTGTTCCAGGGGCTCCAAAACACCTGATATAAACACCTGAATAAATAAATGCTTGATAACATGTTTATAAACTGCATTTCTTTCTAGCAACTGTCAATATCTGGCTTAAATTCTGGCATGGATGTGATCCAGGAGACCTTAGTCCACAGAGTCTTCTAAAATTATGCAATAATTTAGCTGTTGAAATTCCATTTTTGTTTGTTGTGCAAAAAATGAAACAAACTTCTTTTTATCATTTTAAGTTAGCTCCTTTTCTCAGGCTCCCCTTGTTCTTTTCTTAAGGAAAAGATTAAAGAGGGTGACCTGATTTTCCTTTAGGTACTATTCACTATTTTGTATCTGTCACTGTGTCCTATCTTATTCACAGTTTTTCTAAATGAAATGATCCTAAACTTTTGAGCTTCCTTCCTTGCAGATGTTTTGTTACGTATCTTCCACGGTATCTCCTTTGATGTATATTTTTCACTTCTACGTATCTTTTTTTGCCTGTATTTTGAGCACCAATGGCATAAACAAAATATAAGCCCCTCACATATTTATCTAAGGCCATTCTCTACCTACGTCTATTTTTGCAGAATATGGTCACTTGCCTTTGTCTACCACCATTGCACTAAACAAATGTTTTCCTTAAGCTCTTCACAGTGATTCACTGCCTGACCTTCAGTCAAACTTCTGTTCCCTGTTTCTCCCTATTCCTCTCACAATGTTAATAAGAATAAATCTTTGAGACTGTGCCTCATAATACTGGGCGCTTTTCTATATTGCACTTATAAGTAGTTACAGGCCCTCTGAAATCCCTTCAGCCTTCTCCACTGTTAAAGAACATTACATCTTGTGTTATCTGTCATTTTTGCCACCTCACTGTTCATCTCCTTCCAGATTGATAATACATGGAATATCACTTAATCAGAATGCTTGAGGCACCAACAGATAGCCACTTTCTATGTAGAAAATTGACCATCTATTCCACCTCTTTGCTCCTTATCTCTTAACCAGCTTCTAATTCATGACTCATCTTGTCTGGTAGATCTCTAGCTCTCTGAAAGCAGAACCAGGTCTTTTAGCTTTCTTATACAATGTTGTGGAGATGTAAAAATATTTATTCATATATAACACACTCTGGTTTCATTTTATCAGTTCACACACATCTAGGTGTTTTATAACCCTATTAATTTTCTTTCCAATTAACTTTTCCACCATTGAGATAAGGCTTTCTGCTCTGTAATTACCAGGGTCATCCCTTGAATCTTCCCTAAAATTAGATAAAATATTAACTACTCTCCAGTGCTAGCTGATGTGCAGTATGCTGTGTTCTGCAATTAATTGTGAGAAAAATCTCTTACCTTGGAAAAGAGTAACCACTCTGCTCACAGGAAGGCAAAGTTCTGACCTTCAACTGCCTCCTGCTATTTAAAGCTACTATTCACAGTTATTGCTATTTCAGCTACCCTTAGGCCCTCTCCTGAGCTAAAGCCTTTATGGAATGAGTGCAAATCACCTCCAGATTAAAAGTCCATAAAGTTCACTTTCACTTGAGACTTAAGCCAAGTGGCAAAGCAGATGCTTAAAAGAGATGTGTGTCAGAAATTAAGTCAGCATGGAATAGAGCTATCTACTTTCAGTCACTATAAAGGATATTGCCAAGTAACTTTTCTAGATATGTTCACAGTTTGGTGCTGAAAATGCTGTTTTAAAGGCAAGAAAATAAAATGGTCTTTCCTTCTTGATTTATTCCCCAATGTGGTTCAAAGGGATTAAAAAATAAATATAATGTATATTATACTATAATATCCTTAAGAGCAAATTTTGACTTCTTAAACATTTCTGTGTGAGAAAAAAGGCAAAAAGATTCAGCAGCTTCCTTCAAGCAACAAATCTGGATGGGAAGAGAGTTTATGAGTGACTTAATTGTCTTTTTCAAGTGCAGTCAGAAGCTTGAAAGACATAGTATAAACAAGGGAAAAAGCAGTTAAATACCTCAAGACGAGCATGTTACTGCACTCCTGAAAATAGTATTTCCACTGGTGTAAACATTCATGTTGCATCACTCCTTCATTGGGAAAGTCAGCCCAGTTTAACTTGCATTCTTGCAATAGGGCTCATTAGTTTGCCATAAGCATCTACAGGGAGCGTGGCAGAAGCTCTTCCCCACAATTTCTTCAAACGTACTCAGAACTACCTGTTAACACCTCTTTTTAACAGATTTATAACCTACTTTCACTCTGCTCATTCACTTCCAAATGTAATTCAATGAGCTTTCATTTGTATGTCCTATATCCCAAAGGCAGAAGTCAATCAAGAAAATAATAGAAGTTCTGTGAAAACAGAAACGACAGTATCTTGAAGCTATGCACTATGTGTGCCTTCTAATGTGGTACTTAAAGCCATTAATATTAAAATTGGATAAAATTAGGCCCTCTTGCAGGCTGCTTATGTGCGTCTGTCTGCAGCTCTGCTGTAGTTGGAAGTGTGAATGCTGCATTACAGAAATACCAAACTAGTATTTACTGGGGCCAGCAAGAATCATGGCATTGGGTACACCCGGGTGACCTGCAACCTACCTGGAAGCCTAGGCAGATCCTCCTTCCCAAGTGAGAATGGTGACATCAGTGGGCATCCCTCTAAATGTTTTGGCCAACATTGTCTCTCTCAATAGCATCTTTGCTATGAGATTTTACTGTGCTCAGTGGTTTCTACCTATCTTTATACTGCAGATGCAACATGATAATCAATACGGCAGCGCACATCTCTGAGAAAACCATTCAGAATTCATGCAAGCAAATAGTTACCAAAAGAAGTACCAAAGAGTGAAAATACCTCATGATATTTTTTCACTGTTTTCCCTGACATGCATGTGCAGGATTTCCAATTTGAAGTCCCACAGCCACAATTTCCTCCACAGCGCTGGACAAGGAGGCAGCGGGGGAAGAAAACTACATTTGTCAGCTTCAGTTCCTCCCTTAAATTGACAGAGTAGTTTCTTGGAGTGCAGCTATAACGTTTCACATCATCATTCAGCCTGTCCAGGTCAACTGCAATGCAAAAGAGGTTTTATTAGTTAAGTTGGAGAGAGACATTCCCATGGTTTATATTGTTCCCCAGGCAGCCAATAATACCAAGTGATGTGGTACTTTTTAGGAAATATAGAGAAGTGATTTCTGAAAAGATAAAGATAAACCCGCCAATTTTAAATCATTATAGGTGGCCATCTAGGCTCTCCTGCTCCCACTGAATCTCACAGCAGAACTCCCACTGACTATCAAGCTGAAGGGCAGGTTTGAAGATTTTATCTGCAAAATATCCAGAAAGTTGAAGACTGGCTATTTTATCTGCTCTGTTGCTGATCTGGTGCATCCTTGGGTGAGGTATTCCACGTATGCTACTCTCTTCCCTCCCTGCTTACACCTTACCTATTTTGGTAATAAGTTCTTGTTTGTTGTAATGAGCAGAATTACATCTGGTTAGCTATAGGCATACAAGCAGCTAAACAGTTTACCCAATGCACTTCATGTGCTCAACACAGAGCAGAAGCACAGCACAGAAGTTTAAGACAAGTGGAATAACTTATGCCTTTCATTGTTACTTCAGAAGTTTAAGACAAGTGGAATAACTTACCTTCTTGAACTGCCTGTCTATGATGCTTTCAGATTGAGTCTAGACATCTCTAGACGTCTTTTATATGGGTAAAGCAATATTAATTTTGGTCTGTAAATGCTACTACTATAGGCACATAAATATATGCAAAAAATAATTAAATAAATTAATGAGCCTCAGTGAATGTGGGGAGTTGGTTGACATGTAAACCTAGTATCTTTGTGAGATGTATCATTTAAATTAGTACTAAAACCAAGTATAAAACTAATGTACAGACTTCTGACTGTGAGATTTTAGTATTGTTTCTAAGTTTGGCTGGTAAAGCTAAAATAAATAAAACGTTTTACACAATTGTGATAAGGATAAAAGTAACAGATTTAAAAAAATATTTAGAAGGTTTCTGATTTTGATTTCTTTTCTTTCCCACTTTATTCTTTTCTTTTGGATGCTGTCATCAGCCTAACTGTTCAAATGATTAATAATTTATTCAGAATTGAAGGAAATGTGATCCACTGTTAAGCAGTTAGGTCCTCTGAATTGGAACTCAGAACCAGAAAGAATTAAAATCCATTTTAAGCTCATGGAGCTTTAGAACTTGCAGAAATATTCTTCCTTTGATTCAAATCTTCAAGTTTCAGGATTAAAAAAAAAAGAAAAAATAGACACTAGAAACACTGTCTTACTCTGATAAATCACTAGTAGTACAGATTTTTAGAAAAAGGAAAAATAATTTTCACTCAAAAGATAATTTAAACTGAGCAGCAAAATACAGAAAATGACTGGAGGGTACAACAGATAAATAATAATTGCCTCCTACCCCATTCAAATTTACTAACAGATATATCAACAGCAACAATAACAACAACAACAAAATATGGATACTTCAAAGGAGAACAGAGATGAGTGTTTGGGAACATATCAAATTTTCACAGACTTGTTTAATACCTCAACTCCATCTCTAGCCCCAAACTACTTTTATGCTTTACTATAAAAACTTGAAAACATCCATTAAAGTCATGAGCACTACAACATTTTATACCTCATGTGACTCAGCCCTCATTAATAAGAAAAAATAAAATGTGGACTGACAGTGATTGTGAGAAAAGCTGATTTGTTCAAGATCATGTACTTTTACATTGTGACTTTGAGATACTCTCTGATTCAAGGTAGATATTCAACACGTAAGAGTATGTAAATGCTGTAAGTACTATTAGGGAAAATAAGAACAGCTTCACTTTTCTGGCAAGGTGTTATCATCTCAGGCAAAGGAAATATAGCAGATAAACTGGGATTTTATAGCAATTGTGATACATCTCATCATGAAATCTCTGTGGTTCTCCCCTGAGAGCTAACATCTCTACAAAAGAGTTATATATCACCCTCTTGATATAAGCACAAAATCAATGGAGTTGCTGGTATACTCATACACTGAGAGAAAAAATATGCCCAGCATGGCCAGAGTCAGGACCTAAAAGACCAGTGAATATTGATTTCTTTGTTTTAACAGATGATATTTTGTTCTCTTTTGTCATTCCTCAAAGCCACTCCTTCTCATTCCAGCTTCTTGGGCTAATTCTTTTCACAGAGAAGTGTTTCCCACACCTCTAAACATTCCCATAAGGACTTTCACCATCAGCTATTATTCATTTAAACCAATTGGCAAGAAGGAAAAAAATAAGCAATAGTAAAGGGCGGAAAATATTCTGCCCTCACGATTAGTAAGATTTCTGGAGGGGACAGCCCAGAATATCCATATACCAAACCACAGCAATCCAGGGGTAAGGATACGAATATGAGCAGGTTCCTGCTGGGACAAAGTGACTTAGGATGACAGTTGAGAATGGTGCATCTCAAGACAGATGAGAACAAAATGCTCAAAGGGTTAATTCAGTCCTTAGCTACAATACCTGTTGCTTTACCAAGGAAACAAGGCTTTCTGCAACAGACTGGTCATTAAAGAGAGCCAATACCCAGGCACAGGAACTGGCACCTATGTCCAAAGGAAGATGAGAGACTAAGCAAAACTTGTTCCATAATGGGTGAAAAATCCCCTCAGAGCCGCCAGTTCTCACTGCTGTACGGAGCACCCAGTATCTGTCATTGCTGCTGCCCTGTCAGCACAGAAATAAGTCATCTTAACGAGTCTGGCCGAGAAGGAAATGCCTGCATTCAAAGCGGGGTGGCAGGGGAGGACAGTTCACAGAGAGCATATTATGTTCATTGTGGTGTTGCACAAATTGGCTTTGGTAGTTAAGCTGCTCAACTCAAATGTCAAGGGATAGCCTGGTAAAGGGTTGTCACTGGAGGAAAGATGCTTCTAAAGCCTAGTTATGGTGACTTTCAAAAGTCTTTTGCTGGGTCTCCGCTCAAGCTGTATCTGAGTCAGGACTGTGGAGAGTTGTTGACTTGCTAAAAGAATAGGAATGAATAATTAGATAATTAGGGTAATTTTTGCTTTATGCAGTATGAAGGAATCAGCTATTTTCAGAGTGCTAAAAGCTTTGGATGGATGCATTTTTTGGAATTCTAAAACCGGCCAATGACACAATACATTTTATTTAGTATATTTTTCAATGCTGAACTGCTTTGAAGAAAAAAAAGAGGGAAATTTTCAATGGAAGTTCATGAATTTGCTGTTCATTTTTATATTAATAGCACTCTGATCCTGATTTATTATCAGTTCTCAGAAGCCCTAAATCCCAGAGATTTCATTTAAGTTGTGAATTCTCAGCCCTTGAGCATATCTCCAATATCAAGGTCCATGTTTAAATGAACAAATTCAGTAGTGGAAACCCAGAAAATAACTGCAAGCAGAGCAGGGAAGATTAAGCAAAGGGATTAAAAGATACACAAGCTATCCTCTACAAAACTCATCTGGTTTTGGTAAACACATGTTCTTTACGGAATTCCAGTGCTTGGTGGGACCAGGTGAGCAAGCAACATCTTCTGCGACTAGCATGTACTGTATTCCGACAGCATCACACTGACACCAAGAAAAACTCCCATTGCCTAATTAACTTTAGAACATGCTTTGTGACCCCCTAACAAAAGAATACATTTTCCTCTGAACAAATCTCCCTGCTAAAAGCTCCGACAGGGGCTCTTTTCTCTGCCTTAGGATTGTTTTACTGGCTGAAGGGAGTCCGTTTCCTCATCCACATAACAATGAGATTTTACAGTACAGTCGGCTTCATGCATCACTTCACTGCTGTGACTAAAATGTAACCAAGCCTTGGTGCGACTGGTGTGAAATCCTGCTGCTTTACTTATCAAGGACTCGAACCACTGGAGTCCTTAATTTAAAACTAGAACTAAAAGGTTCTGTAGACTGGATACAAATAACTTCAAAGTATTATTACAGAGTGCCTGCATCAGAGATTCAATTTAAAGGCAAGGTAGACATAAAAAGAAGCACTGGAGCAATAAGCTGGATACTTGGGCTACAGTGTTTGTCCCTTCCTCCCCCTTACAGCCTATGCTTTAATCCATCCTTATTTCAGATAGTGCTAAGCCATGTGCTTACCTTGAAGCACTGATCCTAGTCAGATTTAAGCACTGAAATCAGGGACTGCAGATAACACTACATTTTAGTTAGAAGGGGCATTATTTATGAGAGAATTGGAGAGGACAGAAATCCTGTCCTGCCGGTCACTGACTAATTTTAAAAAAGACAAACTGTCTGTTAGGGTTTCTTTTAATACTTTTTATCTTCCAAATTTATACATGCCCCCTAACATTGTTATATCTGTGAATTTATACTTTTTTAATGCATTAGCCACAGATTTGAGCTGGGTAATAAGAGATGTTTGTCACATTGCCACAGCATTCCTATATAGTATATCATGGCTATGATATACTTGTCTTGCACAGGGTCGCAGCCAGGTGGGTTTGGAAGATCTCCAGAGAAGGAGACTCCACAACCTCTCTGGGCAGCCTGTTCCAAGGCTCTGTCACCCTCACAGGAAAGTTCTTCCTCACATGGAGATGGAACCTCCTGTGTTTCAACTTGTACCCATTACCCCTTGTCCTGTCACTGGCCACTACCGAGAAGAGCTTGGCCCCATCCTCCCTACACTCTCCCCTCAGGTACTTGAACATGTTAATCAGATCTCCTCTCAATCTTCTCTTCTCTAGACTAAACAGGCCCAGCTCGCTTAGTTTTTCCTCATACAACAGATGCTCCAGACCTTTAATCATCTTTGTTGCTCTACACTGGACTCTCTCTAGAAGCGTAATGTTCTTCTAATACTGGGGTGCCCAGAACTGCACCCAATACTCCAGGTGCGGCCTCACCAGAGCTGAGCAGAGGCGGGAAGGATTCCCTCCCTCGACCTCCTGGCAACGCTCCTCCTCATGCAGGCCAGGATCCCATTGGCCTTCTTGGCCATGAGGGTACATTGCTGGCTCATGGTTAACTTGTTGTCAACCAGGACTCTCC